CAAGGAGAAGGGCCTCTCCGAGATCGTCAACTTCCAGAACAGCGGTGGTGTCTACCCCTGCAGTGTTTTGATATTCGGCCCCTTTAAGGTGGAAAGTCGGTATACTCAGGGTTCACTCTGTTGCTCCGCTTCTTGCCCGAGATCAATCAATCAGCATTGAACCGGGTGACGTTCAACCCAGCCTCGGGCTCCTCGGGTTGGACAGATCGGTCTTACGGGTCAGATGTCAGAGGGGGGGGGGGGTCAAAGAGCAGCAATTAACACTCAACGAAGTGTGCGTGCGTGCTGTACCAATCGGAGAGCCATAATTCTGACAGCATCAGATTTGCTGATCTTCTGCGCGCCCTACGGATGATTTCGAAATCGTGCCTGACTTTCCGTATCCGTGTTTGGAAGCTGTGACGTTCCAGAAGGAGCAGTTGTGTATCCCGTGCTCACTGATTTCGGTTCGCGTCGTTCTTGCGATCGTTGCGCTCGAGGAGCAGTGATGTTGATGAGTACGTGATTGGCGTGCCGCGTCGAGGGCCAATACTCTCAGCTAAAGTTGTGGTGGCCTGCGGTGTACGAGGCACGTTTGAGGCAACAGTAGCCGGGCTTTGACTAGCTGGTGACGCGCGGGTTCCAGGCCAGCAAGAGGCGCGGAAGGACCTGCAGACGAAGCTGGCCGAATGCTGAACAACGACAGCCGCCGAGTCCGTTATCACCCAGGTCAAGGAGCTGACCTCCAAGCTGCAGCTGGGAGACCCGGAGGTGATCACCATCGTAAGTGCTGGCTGGCCGGGCGCCCCCTGCCAGCAGTGGCGCCGGCGCCGGCCTCTGCCCGCCTGTGGCCGGTGCCGCGGTGCCGCGCTCCCCGCTGAGGTGGTGGCCGGCCTCTCCGCCCCGGTGCTGGTCTCTGCCCGCCTGTGGCCGGTGCCGCGGTGCCGCGCCTCCCCGCTGAGGTCTGTGGCCGGCCTCTCCCCCCCGGTGCTGGTCTCTGCCGCCTGTGGACGGTCCGCGCTCCCCGCTGAGTGTGTGGCCGGCTCTCCGCCCCCGGTGCTGGTCTCTGCCCGCCTGTGGCCGGTGCCGCGGTGCGCGCTCCCCGCTGAGGTCTGTCGCCAGCCTCTCCGCCCGGTGCTGGTCTGCCCGCTGTGGCCGGTGCCGCGCTCCCCGCTGAGGTGTGTGGCCGGCCTCTCCGCCCCCTGCTGGTCTCTGCCCGCCTGTGGCCGGTGCTGCGGTGCCGCGCTCCCCGCTGAGGTCTGTCGCGCCAGCCTCTCCGCCCCCGGTGCTGGTCTCTGCCCGCCTGTGGCCGGTGCCGCGCTCCCCGCTGAGTGTGTGCCGGCCTCTCCGCCCCCGTGCTGGTCTCTGCCCGCCTGTGGCCGGTGCCGCGGTGCCGCGATCCCCGCTGAGTCTGTCGGCGGCCTCACCGCTCCCGGTGCCGGCCGACGCACCGCTCCCGCCGCGTCCTGTCATGTCTGTCGTCGCGGGTCGCTCCCCGACGCACGCTGCGGCGGTCGGCTTCCATGTGGAGGACGGTTGCGTCATGGCCTTTGAGCGAGGACCTAGGAAGTCCCTTGCGGACGCTGACGCTCCATGATGTGGTGTAAAGCGATATGCGTCTTTTTCAGTCAGCCCCTTTTTTGAACCAAGCTCGGTCCGCTCGATCTGCCGTATGATCTGTGCGGCGGAACGCGGCGTGTGACGACCGGCCGCCCCGCCCTCGGCAGGTGTGGCCGACCGTCATGTCGGTGGTGGAGTGGAACAAGAAGGAGGAGCTGGTGGTGGACCAGGCCATCCGCCACCTGCGCGAGTACATCCCGCTGCTGAAGCAGTACACGGAGAGCTCGTCGCGCGCCCAGATGACGCTTATCCTGCGCGCCCAGGAGTACTGCTATGAAACATGAACCTCATGAAGACGTTCAGCAAGATCATCATCCTCTTCTACAAGGGTGAGCGACGCTGCCGCGGGCGGACACGCCGGCGAACTCCCGTGAGGGCTGTTTCTGTTATTACCTGGCGTGGTCATGCATTGGAACGGATTAGGCTCTTTGGTGTTTTTTTCTTGCAAGGACATTGAATGTGAGCCTCATTAGGCTGCAGCATTCTATATGCGATGTAATGCAGCATGCTTCAAGTCAGAACCGCCTGCATAGATCTTACGGAGAGTGGCAAGCGACGTTAACATCGGCTGTTGTCTGCAGCGGATGTGCTGCACGAGGAGGTCATCTTGCGCTGGTACCAGGACACGCAGGAGGGCAAGGCCAAGGGCAAGACGGTGTTCCTGGAGCAGATGAAGGGCTTCATCGACTGGCTCAAGAACGCCGAAGAGGAGGGTGAGTGGGGGAGGGGAGGGGCCACTGCGCGAGCACTCGGGGCGGGAGCTCTCGAGGCGAATCCCCCAGCTTGGGGCGACAGAGCCCGCAGACGCCTGCACTGAGGCTGGGGATTGCAGCAGCTGGGTGGACTCACGAGCTGTAAGGGCCTCCGAGTGGTTGGGGCAGTGGTGAGTTGGTGTGGTGTGGAAAGTGTCATCTGTAAGTATGTGTAGGTTTTATTCGTAAGTCACTGTTCATGTAGTGGATAAAGCGACTCAGGTGTAAGCGTGATGCACCGAGGTAGATATTACACCGAGGTAGGATGCAATATCGTCATAGCATTAATCTTTAACTTTTACCGTCTGTCTTGATGCTGTAAACTTCTTGCGGAGACATTCCCGGACATAAACTTTCGTGTATGAAATGTAAAATCAACAGCGAGCCCGGAATAGCACTAAGCTATTCGCAGTTTGTGAGACTTGTCATAACCATAGCTTAAAGCTGACGTCGTGTGTTCTCGAGGAAGGTCGGTTTTACGTACGGTTTATTTTTGTCGCGTGAGCTTTATGCTCCGTCAGCCTCGCCTGGTCGGTTATTTGATCCAGTCGAACGGCGCGCCGAGCCGCACGTCAGCGAGGGTGACGCACGCCGCCGCCAGCTGGGCCGCGCCGCACATGGAACAGGCACCCATGCGTGGGCCTGAGGTCACACCGCGTTCCACGGTGCCTGGTCTGGCGTCACTCGCCCACTGCAGTAGGTGCTCCAAGCTGTGGTGGCGCGATGACCGTGCGTAAGACGTGTATAGCCCCCACCGATGTAAACTGACGGGCGCCCTCCCCCTGTTGCAGACTCAGATGAAGAGGAGGACGACTAGAGGAGCGAGCGCCGCTCTCGCCGCCCTGTACAACCGCCCCGCCCCTCCCCCTCCCCTGCCCCCCCCTCCCTCCCCCTCCGCTCCCTCCGGCGGCGGCCGCCCGCGCGCCAATCGCGTCTGATCAAATTTGTGCCGGTCGTCGCGCGCCGCCCGGCTGCGCCCCACCTTTCGTTCCAGGGGCGGCCGGGGTCGGGCCGCCACGCCCGGACCCGGCCGTGCCCGGTCAGCTCGTCGCCCGCTCTCTATGATTTGTATTTTTATACTGGCGGCGGGACAGTATGGGCTGTGCGGGCGTGCCGGCCGCGCCGCCGGTCGCACCCAGCCCCCCAAATTGACGTCTGTGTGTCTCTGGGCGGTGGAATACAGGACGGTGAGCGGAGCTGTGTTGTCTGTTGGGTTGGGAACTTCCAGAGCCGGCGTGGACGGCACCGCGGTCTGCTGCCGGCCTTGGTCCGACGGCGGGGCGCGCTCCGCCCTGGTCCGCCGCTCCGGTGAACGGCTCGGCGTCAGCAGGAGCGGACCGGCCGGCGGCCAGAGGGTGGGCGGCGCGCTCCGCCCTGGTCTGCCGATCGGTGAACGGCCCGGCGTCGGCAGGAGTGGACCGGCCGGCGGCCAGAGGGTGGCGGCGCGCTCCGCCCTGGTCTGCCGATCCGGTGAACGGCCGGCGTCGGCAGGAGCGGACCGGCCGGCGGCCAGAGGGTGGCGGCGCGCTCCGCCCTGGTCTGCCGCTCCTGAACGACCCGGCGTCGGCAGGAGTGGACCGGCCGGCGGCCAGAGGGTGGCGGCGCGCTCCGCCCTGGTCCGCCGCTCCGGTGAACGGCTCGGCGTCAGCAGGAGCGGACCGGCCGCGGCCAGCGGGCGGCGGCCAGAGGGCGGGCGGCGCGGCCCCGGATGTGGCGAGGTCAAGACGAGAGCCTGCGTCTCAGGCGGACGGACTGCGTATTCATCCACTAACCGTTCCTTAGTCCTGTCGCTCTGAGCACAGGTCAGGCAGCAGCTGATGTACATCGCAAGCTAAGCGGACGGGACGCGCCGATGCAACGGCCGACCGCCTTCAGCACTTATAATTCACCCCGACCTCCAGATGGCTACAAATGCTCACCACGCGGGGCCACAAGCCTGATGTCCTGCGGCGGGTGACGGGTCTGTGATTCCACCACCAGCAGGTCTCCGTCGCGGACGGTGGTCGCTGAGCAGCGACCTTCGGTTCCGCTGACACCGCAGCTGGAGCGGCTCCCAGAATACCGGCGCCCCGTCCGGGAATACCTGGCCGACGTTCGCTGAATAACGCAGCGGCGCCAGCTGAGTCAGCGCGCCCCTCTGAATGTCGGATGGGGGCCGACGGACGTGCCGCGCGCGCGCACCAGGAGTCGGCGGGATGAGCCTGAACGGCGCACAAACAGCTCGCAGGCGGCCGTGTAGGCAAAACGGGCGGCGGCGGCCTAGGCGCGGCAATGGGCCAATTTGCGCAGGACCACTTGTGAACCATAGCACGGCTGTCGGCTGAGCCTGTTGCAAACTCTGCAGACGTTCCACGGCCCATCCGGAGGCCGCGCGTGGTCAGCGGTTCGTTGGCTTCACGCTGGCTGCAGTCATCGGTTTTGGGGCGTTTGAGCCGACGCACTGCTCGTGTTTGGGCAATGGGGCCTAAATTACCGCTGCGCAGTTTTGGCGTGGATGATTGTTGGCAAACCTGTCTTGAGGTGAAAATGCAGGATCATTCGTAAATGATGGGCGCCGCAGTGGCACCGGCTTCGGTCGGTGTAGGGGGCTAGCGCCCCTCATGTCCCAGCCCCGGCAACGGGTGGGCTGCGCAAACTGTTCAGGGCCTAGCGACCCCGCCGGCACGTGAGCTCCTGTTCCTTGTCCCGCCCGCTCCATTCCCATCGCCTGCATTCCCTCATCCGGCCCTCTCACCATTCCTCATCCTCATTTTATCGGGGCCGCCGCGTCCCCGGGTTGATCGGATCCTGGTGGCCGAGGGGCGCTCGTGCGGGTCAGTCACGGCGCGTTGCAACTCCACCTTGGCCAGGATATCCGGGGGCGCGGGAGGTCCGTGGGGCCCCACACGGGTCTAGCGGCTTGTCAATCACGCTGCGGCTGGGTACTCCGTGCGGGTTTCCGCTCGGGGTGCCTGGCCGTGCGCAGCGGCTTGAGGTGGCAAGGGGCGGCAGTGCTGAGCCACGGTCTGGACAGGGAGCGGTCTTTCCGGTCACACCTGGCCGTGTGGGAGGCGTCGTTCGCCCCGTATAGCACCGGGGTAGCCCTGGCGGCGTTGACCACCTTCCGTAGGGGCGTTGGACTGCTCAGTTGGGCTCCGAGGTGGGTGGCGAGCCCCGGTGCCGAAACTAAAACCACTATATGGCTTCTTCAAACCCCCCAAAACCCGCTCTCCAAAAGGGGGACGGATTGCGATGAGTTCGGGGCACGGAGTGGAACCAGGTCTACCTGCCCCACGGATCCTTGTATTTCGAAGTGATGAGAAGTTTGTCATCTCTCCGTTCCAGCACCGAAACGGGTGGGACAGGTGGTGACGTGATCCGCTGCGACAAGTTGCGGGACGGTGCGACAGATGTTAGGTTCTACAACGGTGCCGCCGCAACACGGGCTATGACAGCCATTGAGTTTGTATATTCCATCACGACCTGGGGTCAAAAGCGAGACGTGAGCGTGCCGATGGCCGTAACCCCATACCAAAGCAAATATTTTTTTCTCGAGGCATTAACGGCTATGATCTTTGGGATGTCAGTGAGGAAGAGATTGTCCAGGAGTTGAGAGTGTTTGGAGTTACCGCAGCGCGCCGGATGAAGGTTGGGAGTGGCGGCCAGATACCCACCAATGACATAATTATGACGTTCGACCGGCCAGACTTACTTTCTGACATCTGCGTCGGCCATGCTGCCGTCATCTTTTGCGAGGCACGACAGCTGTATGAGGCTAGTCACTCTAGAACGTCCTATGCGGATCAAGCCAAACGCTCAGTACCACAGCACACTACCATTGTCGAGATGTCAGCTGTTCAGCTCATTTCACTCCTGAGGTCCAGTGGTGCCGGCGGGGCAGGCGGCTGCCGCCCGGCCGGAGACCCTGGTTTCCAGCCCACCGCCGGCCCGCTCGGCAGCGGCCACCCTGACGACATCACCTGCTCCGCTGGCACCTTCGGGAGAGGAGGGGTGGACGGTGGTCCAGCGTGGCCGTGGTCCGTGGCCTCCGTCGTCACCCACGTCGGACAAGCCGCTGCCCCTTCTCCCGTTTCGGGCACGGCGCTACCTTCGTCGCCTCTGACGCCGCTGGTTAATGCGTGTGGACGGGCGCTAGACACGTTGGAGCGCCACGAGGCGGACGGGCGCGTGCGCGATGCCAAGCGGGCGCGATTTGCCGAACAAGAACGGCCAAGGCCGCCAACCGTTTGTCCGGGGCGGGCAAGGAGTCCGTCCCTCGCAGCACTACTCCATCGCCCGGAATGCCGGTGGAGGCTGTCGCTGGTCCCCAGAGTCTGGTAGAGGCCCACTGATGGGCCCTCCCCCACCGCCACTCCGGCCTGGGGACGATGGCGTAAAGCATACCCCGGCCGGTCCCCCGTCTCCATCTGACGGAGGGAGTCCCAGGACACCTCCCACAGTGGGGCATGGTCCTGCAGAGCTAGGACGTAGCCCCTAGCATGCAACGTCTACTCCTGCAACTAGCGCAGTCCAGTTATTTTAAACGCATCCGTTTTTAGTTTTTTGGACTCCTAACCGTCTTTAAATAGGCCCCCTTTACAGGCCTTTGTACTGTGGAATTATAGACGGATCAGGGCGAATACCCTCGACCTCAGGGCTATAGTCACTAAACGCTGTCCTGCAGCCGTAGCGCTGCAAGCGACTAAACTATCGCCTCAGCATTGCTGGTCTTTGAAAGGACATGCGATGTTTCGCAACGCCGCGCTGACGCGGAGCATTGCACGTGGCGGCACACTCCATGGTCCACGCTTCAGGCTGTGGCCGCGCGGCTTTATCTCCAGCACTGTCACATCGCTGTTTGTTCGCTTTACCTTTCGCCGCGTATCGCCTTTCCGTCGGTGCACATCCGATATTTCCTGTCTGGATTCCCTCCACCGCTTTTTCTGCTGGGGGATTTCAATGCACGTCATACCGCGTGGGGATGTGACGCCACAAACACTCGCGGAAGGCTGTGTGCGAATTTTATTCATGGTGCTTCACCATACACTTTAAACACAGAAGCTCACACACATTTCACAATGTCATCCGGTCAGACAACGGCGTTAGACTTAAGCCTCTCCAGTCCCCAGCTGGCTCAGTACCTTGAGTGGAGTGCCGGTGATGACACGATGGTAAGTGACCACTTTCCTGTGTGGATCCGAATTACGTGAGGTGGAACATTGAGTGTAAGGCCATTTGAATTTGTAAGACGCCGACTGACCTTTCATCCTCCAGTCTGGAAAGAAGAAGTGTTGTAAACGGACTACGTTTCTCAACTTCGAAAACAGCCGCTATGCACTTTTCCGGACGCCCTCGTCCATCCCCCCCCCCCCCCATGGCTTGAATGCCGTGCGGCCAGACCACTCCGAACCAATCCAGTACCCGCCTCTTGGGTCTGCAATTTGATAACCGTTTGACGTATAAGTCACATCTGAAAACCCTACGTGGCAACTGTTTTAAGGCATTGATCATATTAAAGTATGGGTCTTGAACATGTTATGCAGCGAACAGGAGAACACTTCATTCTATACCGCTCACTCATGAGTTCGAAACTTAACTATGGATGTTTTATTCATGACCGCGCGCTGGGTTCCTGCAAATTTTATTAGACGCCGTGCATCATAGCGCATTACGCACCGTGACGGTAGCGTTCAGGACGTCACCAGTTACCAGCGTTGCGGTGGAAGGAAATTAACCAGCGTTTGCACTTGGAAGGGAAATACTTGGCATGCGGTACTTTTGCAACCTGGTTCAATTTCCAAACCATACGACTCACTGAGCAATTTTGTCGCGTAATGTTGAAAGCATGTTCCAAAGTGGCGAAAGGCCGTACGCTATTCCATTTGGTGTACAGATGAAGAAACTTCCGGGAAAGCGATATT